GATCTGTGATCATCCCATGCTGCACTCCAGTTCAGGAGGACTTGGAAAATATATTCCAGAGGATTTGTTCTTAGAATATATTATTCTTCTACCATTATTTCTTCTTAACAGTCTTAACAGGAATACTTGTTTTTAAAGTAAAAATCATTGCTATTTTTAAATTGTCTCTAGGTATATTGACTGTAACATCTGGATTTTGTGAAAATCTAGGCCCTGTAAAAGTTTTCTTTCAGATCTGACTCGGAGAAATATTTTGCTGTATTGTGTGGCCGTGCCTTTGATGGCTTTGTAGCATCTTGTAGAGGTGCATAGGAATGGTGTACACCTGCCCTTATTTTGTGTATAGGTAGCTGGTACCTTGTGGAAGAGGGCTTCCCAGGTGGCTCAGTGGTGAAGGATGCACCTGCCAACACAGGAGACAAAAAGGGTTGTGTTTGATCTCTGGGTCGAGAAGATTCCCTGGAGCAGGAAATGGCAACCCACTCCAGTATTCTTGCTTGGAGAATCCCATGGACAGAGGAGTCTGGCATGCTATAGCCCATGGGGTCGCAAAGATCGGACATGACTGAGCAGCGAGCACACACCTTGTGGAAGGGGATGGGGCAAGGCACATACAGCTCCAAGGCACCTCACACGTGCAGGGCACCTGGTGGCTGCTTAACAACAATTCTCTAGGATGACAGTTGGTAGCCTTTACTAATGTAGCAGTCTCTTTTCTGAGTAGCTCATAACATGTTGAGACACAATAGCATTTTTGAAATAAAAGAAACTAACATCCCAAACAAAGACTTTGCCAGCAGTGTCAACACGTGGGCTGTTGTTAGAAGGTACCCTAGGACACTGAGGGTGATTTTCATGCCTGGAAATAATTTGTGTCTGGGGTCGTGACCCTTCCCAAACACCTTGTTGTTTATATCTGCTTTTTAAATAACAAATGGTCCGGTTACTGTGAGGTTTGTACTGAGGCAACAGCCAATGAAGTCTTAAGTAGACTGCCCAGGTATTGTGATGAAAACAACCTTAGAAAATACCTGAAGAAGCCTCAGAACTCAGAGAATGCATACCAAAAATAAAAGCTAGTGAAGGTGAGAGATGTGGGCCTTTTGAACACAGCATAATCCAAAAAAAAAAAAAAAGTGAAGAGTGCCCTTAATTGATGAAACAGAATGTATCTTCTGTTCTAGGGAGCCAAATTAAATTGTGATCAGACCAGTATTGTAAGGCCTGAGAAGCCTGTAAGAGTCCAGATTTTTCCCTGGGGGAGCTTTTGTAGGGATACATACTCCCCAGATACTGCTTTCAAATCCAGGTCATAACCTGCAAGCACCTTTGCCCATCTTGCTGTGAAACCTCCCAGAGCAGCAGGTGTTGGCTTCTGGGGTTGAGAGCAAATGCTCCGTGTCCTTGTGTGAGCTGTTCCCCCCCTGGTGTTACTTGATGATGTTTTTTAATTTTTTACCACGCCTTTTTTCAAAAACCATTGAGAGGACTTGCTCAGCAGATGATAATGAGTACAGTTCTAGTCCTGGATAGGTTTTGTCCTGAAGGCTTTTCTTTCAGTCAGGGGCTTGAATTGGGTGTGACTGCAGAGAACCTGCTGCGCTGATGTCAGAAGGTGGAAAGACCCCACAGGTGAGAACCAACATCCAGGGCTTCCCGAGGCTCCAGGAGGCCTTGAGAAGTGAGACAGGTGAGCCCGTACAGGAGGAGCAGGGAACTAGGATGCTCATCCTGCCTCCCACTGATGGCTGTGTGACCCAAGCATGCTTCAACCCTCAGGGTCAGAGGTCCCTGCCTCTTCCTAGTTTCTCAACAAAGAGCTCCATAAGTGGTTGCTGTAGGCTTTGCCAGCATCTTTGGGTGGGGTGGTGGATGGTTGCTTTTTTATAGTGCAGATTCCCATCTTCCTCTCTCGACCTCTTGGATCAAAATCTCTAGGGATGGGGCCTGGAAATGTGTAGTTTTAACATGTGTCTTCAGGTGAACTCAGACAGCCAGTTGTGGGAACTAGGGACCCTTTGAGTTGAACATCTGAGACCCCGTTTTTGTGAATCACTCACAGGTCTGTTCTCTGGGTTGACCCAGTCCTGGCTCCTGGAACTGGTCTCCATTCCTGGCCGTTGTTTGGGTGCCCTTTATGGGGACTGTTGACTGGTATTCCTACAGGACACAACCCCTGATGTAGATTCTACAAAACGCTTCAACGGGGAAAGAAGTTCCATTTATAAAACAGCATCCAGAGCTAAAGAGAGAGCAGAGTGGAGGCTAGAAGAGCAAAGACTTGGATCAATGGGGGTCCTCTCTGAGACGGAGATCTTTTGTGCAGAGGCAGGAATGAACATGGAGTGCTGTCTCTGACACCCCAGGTACATGGGAGCCTGGGGACCTAGAGTGGCCTGTCACCTGAAAGGTCCTTTCCCTGGAGCATAAACAGTCTCCTTTCTGTGAGTACAAAGTCCTTGAGGTCAGGGCCCAGATTGAAAACAGAGCTGGAAACTTCTAGTGTGGTGGTTACAGAAATTGTTTTGAAAATCTTGTTGACATTTCTCTGGCCACAGCACCTATAATAAACATATTTAAGAAAGAGGGAGAAAATACTTTTGAGTACATGACCTAGGCACTCTACTGAGTTTTTTTCTTGGTGGTATTTTAGGGGGTGGGTTTGTTTTGCTCTTCATTTTAGTTTTCAGCTTTCAGAGTTGCTTGCTTGTCCTCTCACCCCAGTTCATAAAAGGAATAGAATTTTCCTTCTATCAGGTCAACATGGCAAGCAGGCCAGCCGTTTCAGCATCAAGCAGGTGGAGCTGGAGGGTATTCAAAAATGGTATACAAGGCTGCTGGATTCAATAAACTGGGCTTAATGCCAGATGATACAATATATGAGAATGACGATGTGAAAGAGCCATAAGAAGGCTTCCTGAGAACCTTTATAATAACGGAGTGTTTCGCATTAAGAGAGTGCTGGACCTGAGCATGAGGCAGCAGATCCTGCCTAAAGAGCAGTGGACAAAATATGAGGCAGATAAATTCTACCTTGAACGATATCTGGAAGAGGTTATTCAGGAAAGAAAAGAGAGAGAGAAATCGGCAAAGAAATAATTTAGTAGTCTAAATCTGTGGATACAGCTGTTCTTAAGTATTTTTATGAAGTTGGTTAAACCTGAAATGTACAATGTAGAACTGTTTGGGCTGTAAATGTATTGCTTTAAATAAATATTATAATTATTGTTGGGGTGGGGGGGGGAAGGAATAGAATTTTCCTGGAACTGGAAAATACAGAAATCTGACTTGACCCAAAGATATGCCCTTAATGTATACCTTCTTCCAGTTTTTTGTTTTTGTTTTTTAATACAGGGCTAAAAACTTTTAAAAGTTCCCGTACTTAAGAAATGTGTTATCCATATTACCCTCATCCCTCCCCCACTCCCCCAAAAAAACCAACGTTCACTGGCCATTGAGACCTGGTGGGGCCCATTACTCATTGTGCATCTATAATGATTGACTTTGTGGGTGGGTACAGTTGTAAACTGACCTTGGATTCATTTCACATTTACCCTTACTCCCTGCCTCCGTCAGCCAGTTGTTACTACATAGTTAATTTTTGACGAGATAAAAGTGTATTTGAATGTTTTTATAGAGTCCTTCACTGTGGTTGGAGATGCCCTCATCACCTCTCTTTACCAGAGAGAACTTGGCTTTTAAAATTTTACAAATCTAGATGAGCAGAGAGCAGAGTGTTCTCGTGTTCCTTTAGTTCAAGGCTGTGATCGAAGACTCTCACTACTTGTACATGTCAAGCCCATGTACCATGGGTCCAAAACTCAGAACGTTGCTTTTGTGTAAGTTGGATTTGCTCATTTTGTTCAGTAGACATTTATTGAGCCCATACTCCGTATAGAGAATCATGATACCTTGCACATAAGAAGGAATGTGAATAAGGAAGATAGCACTGTAGGTAGAGAGCTAGCATCATCCCTAAGTGCAGGTTGTAATTTTCAGAAAACTCCCAAGTGTCCTGAAAACCCCATCATTGCAGGATAAGCATACATTCAAAGTAGATGAGGAAACGCTGCCAGATTAGCAAATTCCATCTTTCACTTCCATGCATAATATTTAAATAGCCACCATTGCAAGTGTATGTAATGGACCCAGCCAGTCTTGCAAGTGTCCTGAGGTTCATAGTAACAAATGCTTTTAACTATAGGTAAACATCACATCCTCAAAAAAGGAGCATATTTCAGAGATAGATACCAAGTAAAAACAGTATCTGTACTGCTTTTCTTCTAAGGAGCTTGAAACTCTTCTTGTAGCAACCCTGACTTGTGAGAAATGCCTGTAGGCTTAGGTCACAGACGCTTGGGAAATTTGTTTTGGCGCTATTCCAGTGTGACCTGTTATCCTCAAGAGGTGCCGAAGGGCATGGGGGCTTACTGGGTTTTGTTGTGTCTCTGTATGGTTTTATATTTTAGAACCACTGAACTTAAAAATCTTTTAGTTCCTAAAATATTTAATAACGCCCCTTTGAGAATGTGATCAGAAGAAAGGAGAATTGAGACTCCTGAGCCCCAAGTTCTCGCTGAGCTCCCCTCATCGTGTGTGAGGGAGCCTGGGTCAGTCCCGTCGCTTCTCTCCACACCTCAGCCCCCACCATGTGAGGTGGCTGTGATGACGCTCCCCTCTGAGTTGGGTAAAGCCAGCATGTTGAAATCTGTGTTAGAAAGGAACCAAATGAGAAAGTGTTGCTGACGGTCCCTCTGTCCCACGAGGATGATGCGTGTGGATTTGCATATACCCCAAGGTGGACACCCACTGGATAAATCAATGGATGAACATATCCAACAACCCCAGAGTTGACCACGGCTTGTAGCACACTTTAGGGTAGCTCACCACAAAGCCAGGCTTCCTTGTTGAACCAGCGTTTCAGTCCAGCCCCTCTTGAATGCACGCACTACCCTCACATCCTCTCCAACACTAAAACACCTCTCATTCTCTCTGCCCAGGCTGAAGCCGACGTAGCTTCTCTGAACAGACGCATCCAGCTGGTTGAGGAAGAGTTGGATCGTGCCCAGGAGCGTCTGGCAACAGCTCTACAGAAGCTAGAGGAGGCCGAGAAGGCAGCAGATGAGAGTGAAAGGTGAGGCCCCGTCGTCCAGCCCACCTGTTAGCACAACCTTTCCTCCTGATGGAACCAGAGGGCTCTCTGATCTTGGGCGTCTGAGGATTTCACAGTACCTTGGTGCCATCATTTCCTCACTTGATCCAGGTGTAACTCCTGGTTTTATTTGTTTAACACTAGTGAAACACTTTTGTTTTAAATCTCAAGGTTGCAAAGAAAAGAAAGACTGTTCCTGCCCTCCTAGAGCTCACCACCCAGCGAGGGAGATGGGTTTAAACGGGGGGTTCTAGGGATGTAATTTGGTTCTTTCATTCCTGCTGACCATGGAGCAATTCTGCATTTTGTTTAAAAGATAACTTTGTTAAAATACACCCAGAAGGCTTAGGCCGAGGTAAATAAAGTATGGGCTGTCAGTTGTCAAATAGCCCAACAAATGAGTGAAAGAGAAAGCACAGATAAAACAGAAATATAATCCACAAAAGTAAGTTGTGTTGGACTTAGTAAAGCCGGTAAGACGTGCGTGCACAAGTAAATACAGTCAGATCTGCATGTCCTCTGAGCCTACTCACCCCGTGACCTGGCTCTCCCTGACTTATGACCGCAAGATCCAGCCTTGTGGTAGTAAAGGAAGACCAGGGCCATATCAGCCATCATGTTATTCCAGCAGGCATTTTCTCTCGTGCTCAGCTGCTCAAGTTAATGTACTCCTGTTGCTTGGAAGCACTCCAAGAAAGACTCCTTAAGACTGGAGAGAGTTCTGTCCTTAGAGAGATGAGGAAGCAGTATAGTGTCTCAGACACTGGCAGTGCGTATCTGTGCTGTGACCTGGCAGATACATGCAGTCACTCGTTTTGTCCCTTTCTCCATTTTTGAGGTGCATTTCTTCCTCCTGCCACCATGGGAAAAGTGATTTCAGACTTTAGGATTAAAAAGTCTTGTTAGCTGAAGTTTTTCAGCTCGTTATTCACCATTGCGTCTTATCTCTTTTCTAACTAAGAGTTTGGGAATTTTTAAAGATGACTTACCATCTCTTATGATATACACATAACCAGTGGTTTCGTGGCTGGTTTCTTCCTGAAATACACTTGTTAGTGAACCTGAAAGGCAATCTGGCAATGTTAAACTTTATAGTAAAAAAGTATTTTAGAAATCACTTACTCCAGTCCTCTGATTTTACCAATGAGAAAACTAGGGTTCAGAGACAGGTGTGGCCTGCCTGAACCAAATATATGGCTGAGGCAGGATTCCAGTCTCCTAAGATATATTGTAGTCTTTACTTTTTTTTAATAGATTTAATGGGTTTGATAAGTTTACCCCTTCAGTTCCTATTTGCAGCACCCAATATTCCTTTGAAATACCAGACTAACCCAGCAGTGGCCAGCAGTAAAGTTCAGACCTTCAGAGTTGAAAAATTCAGTTTCTCTGAGCATTCTGTATTGCAATGGCATTGTAGTCTTTATTTTTTTAATTGATTTATCTTACTTAGATTTTGATAAATGAATCCCATTTTAACATAACTTTATTGCATAAATCTGCAGTATATCATAGGTCAGTTAACAGTTTCCATAGCTTACGCCACGCTGAAGGATTCACACATACACATCAACACAGAAGATGGTGTTGGTCTTGGCTCTCAACCCCTCTAATATAAAAAGCGTCATTATAGGCAAAACTCAGTTTCTTCTCCAAAGTTGTCCCACATGAAATTGCCATTTTTACAGGTCGGATTTGGTCAAATATCAGCAGTTTCGTTTGGTTCAATCTAATAGTTACATTTGTGGCTAAAGGGGTAAGAACAGATGCTTTCTTTGTGGAAAGAAAGTACACAAAGGTAAATTTGTTTTTGTTCTGACCTTGGTCCATTTTCAGGCTGAGGCTTCCCACTGGAAAAGGGAAGAAATCCCATTATTTATACAGCAAGTAAAGCATGTTGGCTTTTCTGATTCCACCTCTTCCAGATTCAAAAAAAAAAAGGACCATGTCTTGGTGCCTTTCATTTAACATGAGCTGCCTGGACAGTGTCAGCAGTACCAAAAGTGTAAGCTTTCCTTCACAATAAACAGGGAGAGGGAAATGGATGTCTTTTCCTGCTTTCAGCTCTGGAAAGTCTCACTTCATGGCTTGGAAGATGAAAGTAGCTATGTTTCAGTCTGTCAGTCACACTGAACCTCACAAACCATGGCTGTGCAATGGGAGTTCATGGAAGGCACCTCTAAATCTTGGCTTTTCCTGCCAATCTTCCTTTTCAGAGGCATGAAAGTCATTGAGAGCCGAGCCCAAAAGGATGAGGAGAAAATGGAGATTCAGGAGATCCAGCTGAAAGAGGCCAAGCACATTGCTGAGGATGCCGACCGCAAGTATGAAGAGGTCAGATCCTGGAGCTTAAGGCCTCATGGGTCCCCAGCAATGGCCCAGAAGCAGGGACTGGGGGAGCAATGAAACCATCTGTTTCCTTAGCAGAAATGGGTGTGTTTGAGAAGGAGAGTTCTTTGTGCCCAGAGATGGTTCTTAGTTTTGATCCTACTAGGGAGTCATTCGCACTGGGAAAGACCAGGGCTTTTGTTGTCCCCCGCCCTCAAAGACTAGGACAGAAGGTCTTTGGCCAGACAGCAGGGAAGGTTGGGTCGCTTGTGTTTTGTGAAAGGAGCCTCTCATGCTCTGACCACGCAGGCAGTTACCCCTCGTGAGATCTGCCTGGTGCAACCCAGTTTAGGCGGTGTCGAGACACAGACCACACATTTGCTCTCTGGATTCATGGAGGCACCTCTCAGTCTGTCCTCTCTCCTCACGACTCACAGGTGAATCACCTCCTGGTCATGTCCCCATGAAAGCACCCTCCTGTGTTAAGAGCCCACATGACTCTTTAAGGTTTTAGTTTTTCCCTTTAGCTCTCCTGAAACACCGACTCTTCATCATCATCATCCTCTCCAGGTTACGCTATGCTCACTGATTTTGAAATGCTTCATAGGATCCCTTCCTCCTGGTCCTTTCTTCCTTTGACCTCATTAGTCATCTTACCAACTTCTCATGTTAGCATTTCTTGCTATTTCTGTTGGCATTTTTAACCTCCTCCACCAAAAGGAAGTGGAGGTACAGAGCTCTAAATTGATGAAGTTCTTTTAGGGTTATTTTCAGTCTTGCCTTGCAGCTCCCACCTTTTCAGCATAAAAGGCATCGTGTCTCATCATCCTGCTATTTCAGAGATGGTGAATTTCATCTCTCCCCCTCTTTCCACAGTTGGTCTGGCTGCTGTGTAATTATACAGGCTTTACTTGGGTCATACTTCAAATGTGCCTGCCTACTCATAACTGACCATTCTGAATCGTGAGCAGATGGTCTCCTCTCCATGGGCATTCCTGGTGGAGAGTTGCTTCCCCTCCAGTCCACTGGAGAGAGGATCATCTTATCTGTAGGCAAGAACTCCCAGGGGCTGAGTCTGGCTCCTGCCCTCCCCTCTACCCCCTACACACACCATACTCAGAGCTTGGAAGCCCCATGGTGTATGTGTTTTGTGTGTGTCCTGCTGCAGGTGGCCCGTAAGCTGGTCATCATTGAGAGTGACCTGGAGCGTGCAGAGGAGCGGGCTGAGCTCTCAGAAGGGTAAGCGGGCCCGGCGCCAGGAGGCCCTGTGTGGGGTGCTGCGGAGCAGTGACTAAACAGCATGACCTTCTGGCAGCTGCACATTCACCTGTTTCAGCTCCGGGCTCCTCATGTGCTCATTCGATGTGGATGAGCCACGAGTTTGGAACATGGAGGACTTGTGTGGGGTGTCTGTGTATGAATGCGTGTGTCACTGCATGCCTTACCTGCACACTGATTTTGAGAATGGCCTTGTGCATTTCCTGTGTCCACTAACAGCCAAGTTCGACAGCTGGAAGAACAATTAAGAATAATGGATCAGACCTTGAAAGCATTAATGGCTGCAGAGGATAAGGTACTGATGGCTCACGTATGGGTTTAGGTTTAACTGCAACCCAGGCATCTTTCAGCTTCCAATGCCTGCTGGTCCGTTTTTATAACGACTGCACCTTCACTACACCCTCTGCTATCTTATATCTTGCTTTAAGTGCTTTCTTTGGGTCCTTTATACTCTTTTGTTTTTCCTTCATAAATGCTCTTTGGTGCAGCCAAAAAAGAAGCCAAATCATCACACTTTGAAGCTGTTGAATTTTGTCTCTCCACCTCTCTGCTGTTGGAAGGAAGGTCCGGGGCAGTGTCCACGGTGAAATTGGACATCTCAGCCCCTGATGGTTTGGCTTCTTTAAGGCAGCCCTTTGTTCTCTAGGACTTGGTTTTCATTTTTTTCCCATCCCTCTCCTTTTTCTCTCCTCCTTCCTCTGGCCTGTCTCCCACCCTTTCTACCTCTGATCGAAAACATTAGCAAATGTGCCGAGCTTGAAGAAGAGTTGAAAACTGTGACGAACAACTTGAAATCACTGGAGGCTCAGGCTGAGAAGGTAGGCCAGGAGCACCGTGTGGGGGAGAGGCATCATTTAAGAGCTACTCCAGAGACACCCCCTTTTTCCCTTCTGAGGCCCTGCGAGTCAGAGGGATAGTCCATTAGACACTTTAGCCAGAGGCCTCATTTTGAGGCGATTTCCTGATGGTTATTGATACCAGATTTGTTTTTTTGTTTTTTTTTTTATTCAATGGAAAATCCATTTTGTGTTGAGTATGTGAGTCATCCATAACAATTTAATTTAAACCAAGCGCCAAATGGATAAGTGATCGTGTTCTTATCCCTTGTAAAACAATAGGCAGGAAAGCAGAGACTGCATTGTGGTGTGCCATTTGATCCCAGAGGCTCCATTACCTCCCGAGAGATGCTCAACATCTGTTGGCTGGGCTGGCACTTTCTTTGTATTAGAAGACACAAGTATAGGGTGAGCTGTGGCTTGACATCTGGAACGTTCTTTCTGATTACAGTACTCGCAGAAAGAAGACAAATACGAGGAAGAGATCAAGGTCCTTTCTGACAAGCTGAAGGAGGTAATATTAGGGGTGTTTTAAACAAAGCCAACTGGATTGAGTTTGTCTCTCTGGAGCCATTTTTCATTTTAATGTTACAATGATCCAGGGGTATTCCAGGGTGGGCTTGGAGAGCCAGCAGTGGTAGTCAGCCGCCTCTCACCCTGGTGATTCACTAGTGGGTGGTTTCAGACCACTTTGTGGGTGCCAGGCTTGACTTTCAGTTTCCCTATCTTTGTAGCTACCGGCCACCTAAAACTTCCCAATTTTGACTGAAATAAATTGAATTATTGCAGGCTGAGACTCGGGCTGAGTTTGCGGAGAGGTCAGTAACTAAATTGGAGAAAAGCATTGATGACTTGGAAGGTAAGATCTTAAGTCCTGTTTCTAACTTAGCCCTTATGGCTGAATACTGACGTGGCAAAGTGACTTTCCAGTCATGGCATCCTCCTTGACACACTCCTTTGTGCTTGCACATTTTTCTGGTCTGCCCTTTGGAGTTCTGTGGCTCTTAAGCTCTCTGCTCACCAGATGACCGCTAGCCACCAGACGGGGCCCGTCTTCTTTTTGTAACAGCAGATGCCAAGTGGCTCCACCCGCACACTCTTAGAAGTGTGGCTGGTTTATCTTTCACTGTGAGTGAGGCGGTTGTAGGTGAGAATGACTGGTGTGTTTTCTGTCTTCAGTGATACCTTCTTATTGTCAGAATGGTAAGGATTTGGTTTTTAGGCACAACTTAATCTTTCCCCAAGTGTGAATTCAATATAAGGGTTTGAATTTATTTTTCTACGTTACTAATCATCTTGGCATATGCTCTGTGCCCTGAAATGGGGGGTGGAGGGTAACAGGGCATTATTGCACTTGGACATTATACATAAGCATTTCTTCGCTGATATTTAGGTTTTATTTTGGTAACACCCTCTCCGTCTCTCAGAAATTCCAAATGTTGAGCTCCAAGGCTGTGAAAAAAGAAAGAAAAAAATATGTGAAATATATACATCAAAGGTGAAGGGGGGGCTAGAGAAGGGATTGGGTGTTGGTTCATATGATAACCACGCTGGTGGAAAAGAGAAAATGACACGTGGTGGCAAAACAGGCTCCAAAGTGCAGCAAGGTGTGACACCATTGTTAGAAAAGCCGAAGTACAAACTTGGCACAGCAACGCTGTGAGGAGCATGGCTCTCCTCATTTTTCAAGCCTCCTGGACCAGTGAAGGAAGCCTAAGTGGGAAGGCCACAAGGAATAGTCTGGATAGCACCAAGAAATCCATTTCCCAGTGGTCTAGCTTGGTCAGGAAGTCAGTGGTTTGAAGGTGGAGCCAGATAAGGATTACAGACTGTAGTCACAAATTGTTCCTCCAAAACAATGCCCGTGGCTGTTTTTTCCACTGTTTATAGTTGCAGGTGGCTGACTACTCCAGTGTAGTTAAATTATAGCTCTATAAAAGAAAAGCTGTCCTGTTGCTCCTCCCCCAACCGGGAGACAGCCTTCTGTGGTTTTGTTTAGGGTTTTAACATGGTTTACTACCATATTTGTTACAATTTTCATATTGAGTTTCTTATTTTTATTTTCTAATGGGTTTTGTTCTTTCTGTTTTTGTTTCAATTTTATTAAAAAAAAACAAAACAAAACGCACGTCTCCTGCATTGGCCACCTGCTGCGGCACCACTTCCTTCATGCATTGCCCTTTTCTTGCTGCTGTGTCGGGATGGTGTCCCTGCCACCCTCATTCACCTTCCATCTCTTGATCACTCTCCATGTCCTTGCACCTCTGCCTTCCACTTCCTGGTCATAGACGAGCTGTACGCTCAGAAACTGAAGTACAAAGCCATCAGCGAGGAGCTGGACCACGCTCTCAACGACATGACTTCCATGTAAATGTTCACCCACCCTGCCTGCTCACATCCGTGCCCTCATGCTAATATGAGCAGTTCGCCACCACTCCCTCTTGTATCTCCAGAATCTCCACCTTTACACGTTTCTCCTCACTCTCTTTGCACAATCTAGGATAGTCATTGTTTGTTTGTTTGTTTGTTTTCACATTCTACTAGAATACAGGCCAAGTAGATTGTCTATACAAACCGTCTTCCTCTCAAAATCCATTCATTTCACATTGTCTCAGAATCCATTCATTTCACATTGTCTCAGCCAGATCGTTCCCACCATGCAGTGAGCTGGCATAGAAGTGACTCGGGCCCTGTACTTTTAGGAATGTAAACTAGGCTCAAGTAAAATCAGTAGGCCATGCAGTTATGCAAGAATTGCCCAAGAAATAGCAAAAGTCAGTTTCCTGTGATTCAATTAAATATAACGTGAACATTTTTTATAAAAAAAATACAAATTTAAGGAACCCTTCACCCTCAGATGACTGAGGCTCTGAGAGGAGGGAAATTGATCCGGAACAGTAAAAAGGATGTTGCTGTAAAACATCACATCTTTCTTTTAAGAATTTTAGACAAAAATGAACCTTCTGCTGAGTTTCCAAGCCTTTAATTTTCTGTTTATATAAAAAGAATTAACATACAAACACCACAACCTATGTCAAAGAAATGGGACATAAAGCATAGGTTGTGTGCTCTTAAGCACATCATGTATTCTTTAGGAGGGGTTTAATTTTCTGTTTATATAAAAAGTAATATACAAACACCACAACCTGTGTCAAAGAAATGGGACATAAAGCACAGATTGTGTGATATGAGTTTGAGGGTTAATGGCCCAGCTTTTACTACTGCTGGTCAGTAAGGGTGGAGTAGATAGTCTTAATCTCATGAGAACCTGGAGCATACACAACTAACTTTCATATTACTAACCAAGCCTGAACATTGAACCGGTTCTGCCCCACTAAATTCTAACTTGGAGTGTTTCACAGAGGCTGCCTTTTAATCTCACAAGATGGCACTGAATTCCACATAAGCTGGGAATTTCGCTTTCCAGGCCCACCTGTCATTCATTTACCCATGCAGAAAAATGGTAGCCTGAAGAGTGTTGGCATGTGTCTGCTGCCCTACACATTATAGAATCATCATGCTACCCCTGGAGACATGACTGTTACCATGGAAACTGAAGAAAATTCCATCCTTTCTCCGCTCATTTATAAATGAGGGGGTAGATCAGATCATCTGTCTCTGATTGCTAAAATGTGGTGATTCTATGAGGAAAACTTGCAGCATCATGTTTGGTTATGTACTCTGAAAGGTGGGCTTAGCTTAAAATCTGTTTCTGAGTTCTGCTCACGGGTCTTCTTACCATGATCCCTCCCACAGAAGAGGCTGGTGCTGGCCTGGGGCCCAGACCCTGGTGGGCAAGGATTTACATCCTCCCGCAGGTTTTGCATGTCTGCTTCTCACCTTTGTTTCGAGAGCTGCTCTCATCTGTTCGTTTGGCTTCCGTTTTCCATTGTGCCACTTTTTTTTTTTTCTGTTTCTCCCACCTTTTCTCTTCATGCAGATAAGTATCTTTGCTTCACTTCTCCCAAGACCCCTTCATCGAGCTGGATGTCCCACCTCTCTGAGCTCTGCAGTTTGTCTGTTCTCCAGCTGAGCCTGATTCTTTCTTTTCACATCCTGCCTTAGGGCCAGGTACACACCGTGCTTCCTCTTGTACAGAAGCGCCTCGTTTCAGTGTAAAATAAACACTGTGTATGCTGTTTCTGTTTGCTATTCTTTTTACTTCTTATTTATTGACATTTTAGTTTCAATGCTGAATAAAACCACAAATCTGCTTCACACACAGGAGGGTTAATTTTTGGCTGCTGCTTTGCTTTTTTTTTTTTTCTATTTTGGACATCATTCATTAATATCAACAGTCTCTAAAGCAGTAGTTCCTTGTGGAACTTTTTCAAAATACACATGCCTGGGTCATTCTCTGGGTTTTGGTTTGCAAAGGTTAGAGTTAGGGCCAGGCAGCTATGCTTTTTAGGGATTGGGATGGTACTGGTGTGTGAAATGGGTTGAGAACCTTCACACAGGGGATTTTGCTTGTTGAAGCCAGAAAGTCTGCCTTGAGCAGGGCCTTCATGTGCAGATGTTGAGTTTGGGATGTGGTGAGCCTGCTGTGTTGGTATTTAGATGGTCCTGCTTGAGAGTGGGGAGCTAACTAAGGAAAGGCTGCCAGCCCACACATATCCGAAAAGATGAACAGGATGTGGATACAAAAACAATGTAAGTTGAGATCATTATTGATCATCCTTTTACAGCACAAAGTGTATTCATTCCTCAGCCACCTTCATTTTGATCATGAAATGACATTCTTAGGTTTTACGAACATATGAGTATGTTCAAGTCAAGATTTATTTTTTTGCTCTTAAGCACATCATGTATTCTTAGGAGGGATTATACTTACATAATCTTTGTGATAACTTTTTTTTATTTGTGAATATTTTTAAAGCATAGCTATTAAAGTTGGTTCTTTTTTTAACCCCCTAAAAATAATAGAAATTGTTCAGTTATAGTTTATTTTATTGGTTATATTTATAAATTAAAGAATAGCATGTAAGTGATTTTTTTAAAAACACATCACAAAATTAGAACTTTAAAATGATGTGGAGTTTTCTCTCTCAATGCCCAACACTTCTCATCCTCAACAATCTGGCTATATTTCTCCTGTGTTTTAAATGTGAGTGATTGTTATCTATGTATAGTTTTTCTGAGCCTAAGTACTTATATATCCCTATGTTCTAATAAATTTGAGCAAACTGAAAATGTCAGTCACTCTACAAAGACTTCAGAACAGAGTAAAAGTACTCTTTTTAAGAGGGCTGTGAATTTAGTAGTAGTATAACAGACTTTTTAAAATTTATAATCTAGACAGTCTCTCTCCCTGTAATTTCTTACTTTTCTTTTCCTAAGGCTCCTTGGGCCTGCTTTTGACTATGATTCCTACTTTGTTCTTTTAAAATTCAGAGTAATAAAAGTGGGCCCTTCTCTGAGTAACCCTGCTTCCTGCCATAGAAAGAAATGACAAGTCTGAAAGTTGTGCTGAGCAGATGTTAATTCTGGAGGCACACCAGTTTTGGGGGAACCATTCCAAAGACTCTCACACTTTCTCTAGGTATATTCTACAGGGAGAAATGGGAAACTGATGGACTGCAAAGGCAAATCTGGAATAGCCCAAGGACTTCCCTGGCAGTCCAGTGATTAGGACTCTGTCTTCCAGTGCAGGGAGCCCAGGTTCAGTCCCTGGTCGGGAAACTAATATCACACATGCCACAGGGTTTAGCCAAATTAAAAAATCTGAAACAGCCCAAGAAGGTATGGGCACACAAGAGGATAAATAGCTAGTTGATTTTATCAAGAAATTGTTGGGGCCCAGGCTTCTAGCTCAGCGGATCATGCCATCATAGAGGCGGCGGCTGCAATAGCCTTGGTTGGACCAAACCCCAAAAACATTGCTTGGCAGTTGACGCCCCAGATATTGAGGAGGTAAAACAGGAGGGAAAAATATTTTCAAACATATAATACTCCCAGGCCCCCCAAGCATACCAGTTCTATGGCAGCCAAAGTAGAGCACGTCCAAATGAGGACGTTGTAAGGATACTGTCATTTAAACTGCATTCACATTGACCCTCTGGGTTCTCTGGGGTTTCTGCAGAGTTCTTTCATCCCAGCTTGACTGTACATTGGTTCAGGAAGCTAAGACATCTACATGCCCATGGTGATGTCTCCCACGTGAGAGTGTGAATGTGCTGCTAGTGGGGTTAAATTTTGCACCCCACAAGCATGCAGGACATCGTGAAAGGTAGGGAGGATGTGGTCAGGACATGAACTGGAAATGTTCTTTGTTCTCAGTGAGCTGGCCATCTTGTGGGAAGATAGATGAGTGAAGCAGGTCTGACCTGTGAAGCAGATGGTGTACATTTAGAGTCCATGAGGAATAGAGACAGTAATTCTGACTGGGAGCTACCTGGAGAAGATGACATTTGACTGGGGTTTTGCATATTCAGAACATTTGGATCAGCAAAGAAGACAAGGTGGAGATATTCCAAGCTAAAAAAACACAATGAATATAAGGTATTCCTCATCTCCTACCATATGTGAAAGTGAAAGTGTTAGCCGTCTAGTTGTGTCCGACTCTTTGTGACCACGGACTGTAGCCTTCCCAGCTCCTCTGCCCATGGAATTCTCCAGGCAAGAACACTGGAGTGGGTTGCCATTTCCTACTCCAGGGGATCTTCCTTACCCAGGGATCAAACCCAGTTCTGCATTGTAGGCAGATTCTTTATACATGAGAGAATATTAAAATGAGAATTAATTGATTTCCCAACAGACCTGGGAACTAGAAACTGAACATTTTTATTCTCCCCAGGTGTAGGATTGTCAGCTCTTCAGGATCATTAAGTTAGAGATTGTGGGTTTAGGTTGTCACTGGCATGCAAGACAGTTCTGTAACCTCCAGCTTTCTGTGATAAGGGCCAGTTTCTTATTCTTGTTTGGGCATCCCCTGGTATCCCCATCAGATAAAAGCTGACTAGCAGCTGCCTTCTTTGCCAAGTGAGAAGATTACATGCCCTTGTGCAAAATGTACTTCACACCAGTCTCCATGTGGACGTTTGGGATTTTATACATGTCTATTTAGCACCAGAGAATGCCATCCTTTTTAGAAAGTCAGCAGTTAAATCAGTTTTGAGTGGAGTAAGTGCTTATTCTTTTGCTGTTTGTGTAGAGTAACACACCCTATCTCTAAGCTGGATGAGAGTTTACACTGTGTAACATAGTGACAATGGTAGAGACATGGGGCTTAGTTCTGCATTTCCAAAACTGTTAATACAGTGGCAGTGGCCCCTCTAGGGGCCACCTGAGAGGAAAGCCAGCCCTAGGAGTGGAGATGAAAGGGTTCCAGGAAGGGATGAGCAGAAACGGTAGGTTAAGGTTTTGCAGGAAGCTCTCAGTCACTGAGCCCTACAAGGAGTGGATGGCGTACTAGGCTCACCTCCAGCCCTGCCCCAGTTCCTGAGGCTGTTGCCAGAAGCTTCACTGGGCCCAGTTCACGTGATGGTTTTAGTGAGATGCATAAGGAACATGCCCCCTCTCTCCTCCTCGGATCCTGCCGAGGAGGAGGATCCCTTTCCTCCTCTTGTTTCCCTTTCCTCCTGCCAATAGAGGAGTCCTGGTTCTTCCTTGGTCAGCCAGGCCTTCCCTGGGCACAGGACAGCTTCTCATGGGGTGAGGGGAACCTGCTCAGCAACTGACCAGCACCTGAGGTATCTCTGTGTTCTGTTTACTCCCTCTCACCAACTCCAGCTAACCTCTCTTCCTTCTGCCTCTTCTCTTCTGCTAACCTGCTTGCTGACCTGTACAGATCAACTCTACCAGCAACTTGAGCAAAACCGCCGCCTAACTAACCAACTAAAGCTGGCCCTGAATGAGGATTAAACTTAAGTGGGGAAGAACCTGGGCTGAATTCTAGGAATGCAGCCCGTGTCAGGAAGTATAAGACTGCCATACCTTCAGATAGTAGGATTGAAAATGATTGCTTTCTGCAGAATTCTGCAGAATTCAACATGAATCAGTTGAAAGGTTGGCCTTGCCTGCATTTTCCTCTTAATATCTGGAATAATTCTCTTTAATCCCCAAACCGCTTTCATGGTAAAATTATATCTGTGTATATGGGTCAATGTTTATAATCAGTTCAGCACTCATCTTTGCAATAGCAGGTCCCCTTATTTGGACTGATGCATAATGAGAACCAAAAAAATGTTTTTTATTTCCTATAGAGAACTGAGTCTTGTTTAAAATTAGAAAGTCAAAGCAGAGGGGTGTCAGCATATATATATATATTATATATAGGATGTGATATATATAATATATATTCCTATTACATATTCATATTTCTGACTTCTAAGTATCTGGTATAGCATTTGAAATATGATTAAATGTACCTATGCTTGGGCAAAATAGCTTTTGAAAACAGGAGTTCATGTCAGAAGTCCCCGATTGTCTGAAAGGTATGCTTTTATTTAGTCTTAACAGTGTTGTTGGAATCTGGTGAGAATGCCATGCTAATAATAAATAGAACACTGTGAGAATAATAAGAGAATGTCCTACTGGAGTGTGCATGAAACATGTTGGTTTTTTTTTTTTTTTTAACGAGCAACAGAAATAAATCCTTGAAACGTTGTCAGAAGGCCTAGTAATGTCACCTTTGTTCTCTCTGAGATTGTGTTACAACGCAACTCTCAGACCTTAACTGCCTGTAACTCAGAAATGTCTGCTGTTGTTATAACTTGAGTGCTGCGAGCACCTCTCCCAGTTCCCACAGCGCATGACCAGTGAACATCCGCCAGCCCCACCTGTATTTTGCTCCCATGGTTTGCTGGTGGAGATTCACCTGGCCGCTCTGTGAGAGCCTGCTGTGCCTGTAGTTTCTTCAGGTCCAAGACAGCTTCCCCTTTGTAGGTCCCTGTCTGTAAATGAGTCATGTCTTACGAGCATGCCTGGTCCTAATCATCTCATCCTGTGTTTGTGATTGATGTTTGCCTGCCTAAGTGTACAAACCACCGCTGTGTCCAAAGCTCAGCTATTCATGACTTAATTTTCTAATCCCACCACAGAGAAAGTGGCTCATGCCAAAGAAGAAAACCTTAGTATGCACCAGATGCTGGATCAGACTTTACTGGAGTTAAACAACATGTGAAAACCTCCTTAGCTGCGACCACATTCTTTCATGTTGTTTTTGTTTTTGCGTTTCGTTTTGTTTTTAAACACCATGCTTACCATGAAACCCCTTAATGCATTTTTTATTTACTTTTACCACTGTCACAGAAACATCCACAAGATACCAGCTAGATTGGGGGTGGGGAAGACACACACACATACACACACACACACAGGCAAGCCCGTGTTCAAGGTGACAATGACTTAAATGTGCCATTTCCCAAGTTGACATTGCCACGCTGTAGAGAGTTTAGTGACACAGTATGCTTAGTCCAGGAATCCTTGAGGAAACAGAAAGATTTCCACTCAAAGTGCCAATGATGCATGACTAGGAAGGGTAACCTGGGGAAGGGAGGGACCAGATTGGAAACACAATCGGGTGTGGATTGGTGCTACTTCAAACAAAAGGTCCCACTGTGGTCTCTCCTTAAATATTGTACGATTCAGAAGTCTGTCCAACACTAATTTATTTTGTCATGAGTTTTACAATGAGGTGAGACTGTGGATCCTGTCTGCCAGAATTCACTAAAGCTGAAGCTTTGTAAGCCACCGTGCTCTTCTAAATTGGCACATTTGCAGTTTGTTACAACTTGTGGGATAGCATGTGATGTGGATTTCCAGCATGTTCAAGTGAAAGATGTGGGCACCACATACAATGGTGAAGAAAACACATTGTCTTAAGAGTTATAACTGTATGGAAACCTTGTACAATGATATGGAATAAATGCACATTGTAGGACATTTTCTAAACAGGGTGGTCCTGTCGTTTGTATGTTTTTACTTTGTGAACTTCAGATCGCGTAATTGACCTACCTTCCCTCACGCATGTTCCTTAAAGCTTATTAATACCCCAGTGTCTGGCAGGGAGTGGGTTTCTTGTGTCATCTTCCCAGAAGCACTCAAAGCAGGATCCCTTTGGTCTGTTAAAGTCACAGCAAGCAGCAAAGGGGCTTTCCCAGTAGCTCAGTAGTAAAGAATCCACCTGCCAATGCAGGAGGCATGGTTTTGATCCCGAGGTCAGAAAGATTCCCTGGAGGAGGAAACAGCAGCCTGGGAAATTCCACTGACAGAGGAGCCTGGCAGGCTACAGTCCATAGGGTCACAAAGAGTCAGACACAACTGAACAACTAAGCAAAACCAAGTAACAGAGGACCCTTCCCAAGTCCCAGCCTTTCTCCAGATTGTGGGTTATATCTGCACATATATATGGGTTATATCTGCACATATATACATGTAGGCCTTTTGCTGTGGTTCTACCAGTTTGGGGAGTTTTCCTCAACTCTTAGCTAAGTCTTTAGCAGTGGCAATCATACACAACAAAAAATTGCAAATTAATGCATCAAATGTGTTGTTCCCCAGCAGTGTAATTGTATTTAAAAGTAGAAGTGTTTAAAAAACTTCCCTGGAGGTTCAGCAGCTAAGACTCTGGGCTTCCAATGCAGGGGCCTTGTGTTTGATCCCTGGTTGGAGAACTAAGATCTCACATGCCATAACTAAGACTTGGCACAGCCAAATAAATGAATAAAACTTTTTTTTTTTTTAAGTAGAAGTAAAGGATCTCGGTGATTTTCTGCTTTCTAACTCGTGTTTGAGTTCAGAATTCCAGTACCTCTTTTTATTGGACTTGGAAACTGAAAACATCACTGGCCAGTCTTGAAGACATTAAAGAAAGAAAAACAGATTACACTGTTAATTGGCTAAACTTGTACTACAGGGGGACAAAGAGGACATTCTCATATAAAGCAAACACAATAAAATGGAAACAAATTCATTTGGATGCACAGATGTTTTCATCGAAAAGGATCCAGTATCTCTAGCCGTTCTTCCACACTCTGCTCAGGTATTCTCTGCAGAGGCCCAAAGAGAAGCCTGGCGTCTGAGTTACAGTTCCCACTTCTAAAAAGTTGTCCTTTTAGTGGATAAAAAAGATGCAGTGGATATATACAATGGAAAATTACTCAGCCATTAAAAAGAACAAAATAAGGCCATTTGCAGCAACATGGATGGACCTAGAGAGTGTCATACTGAGTGAAGTCAGAGAAGGAGAAATATCATATGACGTCCCTTATATGTGGAATCTAAAAAGAAATGCAAATGAACTTACTTATAAAACAAAGACTCGCAGGCTTAGAAAACTGAACTCGTGATTGCCAGGGAAAGGGATTGTTAGGACTTTGGGAAGGTCATGTACACACTACTATATTTAAAATGATAACCAACAAAAACCTATTGTATAGCGCATGGAACTCTGCTCAAATGTTCTGTGCCAGCCTGGATGGGAGGGGGGTTTGGGGAGAATGGATACATGTGTATGTATGGCTGAGTCCATTCACTGTTCGCCTGAAACTGTCACAACATTGTTAATCATCTATACCCCGATACAAAATGTTTTTGGTATTTAAATAAAAAGCTGTCCTCTTGCTAAAAGCAAATATGAACTCTCTGTGTCTCAGCCTTCTCACATCTTCACCAGCCCTGGGCACTCCCCTGCCCACCCCCAGCTAGACACAGATACCCCTGCCTCCACTCAAAGGCTTTCCTATGCCAGCATCTTTTCACCTGGGGAGCCAGATCTGACTTCACATTTCCTAGCTGCCTAGCCTGTCAGGTCCCTAAATCAGATTCTTCATCTATGTAATGGGTACCTAGCGCACAGGTTACTATTGTGGGACTGGGATGTGTGAGCCAGGTGATGGGTGTGCATCACAGTACCTCAGGCGGACTCAATGACCACTCCTGCTGCCGCCCCTTGTGCCCAGAGACCACCACAGAGGACTGGCAGGTGCTGGGACACTAACTGCCCGACGTGGCGATGGTAGCTATGAGGACAATCTTAAATACCTAGGGCCACAACCTGTCATGAGCGCCTTGCAGCTGTCCTTTCAGCTTCACCTCGGCCCCATTTCACTTACACAACAGGCTCAGGGAGGCTGAGCGAACCTGCTCTCGGGTCCAGAGCTCACAAGCAGTGTGGTCAGACGGCAAATTCAGGCCTGTGCAACTCCAAAGCCCTGTTTGGGCTCTTCTTCCGCTTGTTTCAGACGTTTTGCAGCAGAAGAAAAGCAGCTCCTGGACATGGATAGAACCAGATGAGGAGGCAGGTACAGTTGTGGGAGGATGAGGCCAGAGGCTGAGTCAGCCTGCAGCTGCCCTGACCCCCGTGGGTGGTTTAAGGCCTGACTTCCTCCCTGGGTTCCAGGGACCAGATGAAATCAGTGGATTACTGTGGCCTCATGCCAGTTCATAGAATTGTTATTAACTGATGGTTCCGATACGTAGAAAAGGAAGAACGCCCTGTCCCCACGAGGCACACATCTTAGGTCAGACCCAGCATGATTATCTCTGAACGTGCTGTTCTGTGAGGTCAAGGGAGAGCAGTGACAGGTCTTCAGAGTGCCAACACCAAGGCTGGATGCTGATACAGTCACCATTTAGAAAACCATGTAGCGCAGACAAAGAATTCAAGGTTCATACTCTGAATTCCATTGTCAAGACTTAGCAGGCCCAGATTTCAGAATGCACAGCCAGAGATGTTGCCTTGTTCAGTGTAAAACAATGTGGAACGCCACAGAGAAAGGTTACAAGGTAAGCATATAAGCATCTTCCAAAAATACTTAATTTTGTGATGGGAATTCTATGATGTCTTATTAAGGAAAAAAGAAAAGCACTTTGTGAGTACATTCTGAAACTTTTGAGGCTGGCATTGACGAGAACAGTACTTACTGCTCTTAGAGCTATCATTAGCAGAAACAAAATCTAACTTTTGTGTATACTGTTATGTATCCTCCAGAGTAAAACGTTGGGCCTGATTTTTTTTTCTCCAAGAAAAGTCTTTTTCACTTCAAAAAACTGCTTGAATCTATGTTAACCACTTTTTTTACCTTTTCAACACTATTCGTAAATGTGATTAAAAAAAAAAAAAATGCCCTCAGATGTACATACCAAAAAAGCCCTCTGAATTCTCCAATCAAAACAAAATGCTGGGGTGTTCAGGGAGCCATCATTTCGAAAATTGGAGACGGATTTGGAAAGAAATTGCTAGGAATGGCAGGCAATGCAAGAAGAGTTCCTTCCATTATATGCACTTTTTGACATTGAGGGTTTTCAGGGCTACATTCCTCTGACAGATGTCATAAAATTTTGTGTCAAACGATGAATGAAGATATGTTGAGGGCTTACTAATGTGAATGCAACTTTTGCCAATTTCTTGACGAATAGGCATCGACCTAGAAGATAAGACTGGTTCCTGCTGCCTGTGTCCTTGCTTTCCGGCTGTTACCAAGGCCATGGGGAACAAAGAGGGGAGTCAAGGCCTTATCAGGGCCTTCCAAGGCTAGTGCCATAACTGAAATGCTGATGTGAAGCCGGAAGGAGGCTTATCATCCTCAGGGCTGGAGAGCTCGGTGGCTTGCTCAAGGTCACCATTGCTTGAGTTCAACCCCAGTTCCCCTCCAGGCTAGGCAGCAGAGGGTGGGGCTTGGAAACCAGGGAGACCTGCTTCAAGTCCTCCACCACTTACTGAGCAACCCCTGGTTCATCTTAACCATTTGTGCAGCAATTTCTCCAACCTTAAAGATGCTTTGCCTGTGCACTTCCTCACAAGGCCAAGACCTAAACGAGGTGATGTGTGTGGACTCACCACCCCCACCCTGCCTCTGCCTCCAATTCTGGTCCTTGACCCCAAGCCTTTTCTTCCTCTTGCATTGGGTCCTTGGGGAAACTGAAATAACTTTTTCCTTTTGAAATGGAAATCCTGAGCACCAATCTCCAGTAGACTGTTCATGGCTTTGCAGTGGTACTCCCACATAAAAGGCATTCACAATATAGTTGTTGATTGACCCAGACACAAATGCTCAGGTAACAATTTCAGCGTAATCACCTGTGCATAGAAGGTGAAGAATGTTTCAGAGTCATATCTCATTTTTAAGCAAAATACTGGCTCTTGAAAATTTCTTTTGCTCCATTTCTTGAACTGCATTTGGATGTGTTGCTGAGTGAAAGGGAACAGAACATCAGATCCTGATGGTTGGCCTTGCAGCAAATGTAAGTGAAGACAGATCAGTCCTCGTTCGTTCTTGAGGAACTGCAGTAGATCCGTATCTCCAGAGGAAAGCTCGTGATGAGAGAAAGGTGAAAAGCCCTTCTGTATGTGGCCCAGGAACACACAGAATACTGTTCTGTTCTCAAGAGGCCAACTGGACATGCCTGGGCCAGAAGCACAAAGGAGTGGGCTCCCCTGGATGGATGCTGCCGAGGGATGGGAGTAAGAGGGGAGTACAGGAGTAAGCAGGGAGTACCCTGCTGTCAACTCAGGGTTTGAAATGCTGCCTTTCCAGTGGAACTCATTGCTTGGACTCATAAATGGAAAATTAAATTCCCCAGTAGGTGCAATGGGATCCTATAACCCTATGGCCTTCTGATGAACCAGGTTTTGATGTGCTGGCCACATCCTGCTTTAGGACCTCCACTCACCCACCCTGTCCCAAGCCCACTTCCTCTGAAAAGCATGTTTCACAGGTAAGTCCTTGAGTCATGCTGTGGTCACAGACACCATTATCCCAAGTGAGCACTATTGCTATCCCAAAAGGGTTTGGCATTGTTGCTGAAAGTCCAGCAATCAGCATATTAGAAGTGTGACCCAGCACCCAGGCAATAGGGTTTTTCATTTTCCTTCTTAAGGTAAGTGCTAGCTTCATGGAGATGACTGGCTTATCTGCATCTCAGAACCCAGCTGGAAAGTGATTCATCAGCGGCTTCCTTGAGCCTAATGACCACCATCTCCATCATATGTCTTTCCTGTTCTTTTCTTACAAATACTCTTTTTATCCAGGATACTCCAGGACTAGCACCTTCCCAAGAAATTAAAAAGGAATGTGGCGGGTAATTGGCCTAGAAATAGAGATGTAATCAATGTAAAGAAAATGTGACTCAGTAAAGTGTCTCTGATCTCAAATCCTGGCAGAACTGTTGACATCTCTTCCATCCCTGATCCTCTGCTTGAAAACTCCTATCTGGATCTTCTCCTGTTTCTGGCTTATGTTCTCTCTTTCCCCTCCAGCTGTAGTATTTCATTATAATCTCTTATTCTGCTCACTCTCAAACATAGAAAGGGTTTCTCTGTCGTCTTCTAGTGGCTAGAGAGTATGTGGAGATTAAAATTGTAAGTAGGGATTTTCCTGGTAGTCCAATGGTTAGGACTTTGCCTACCCATGCAAGGTGTGTGGGTTGGATCCCTAGTCAGGGAGCCAAGATCCCACATGCCTCATGGCCAAAGAAACAAAACATAAAACAGAAGCAATGTTGTAACAAATTCATTAAAAACTTTTTTTAAATGGTCCAAATCAAAAAGAAACTTACAAAAAAATACATCAGTAATTTGGCTTACAGGACTAAGAATTTCCATTTCCACTTAAGAAGTACTCCTATTATTTTATGGACTATAGGTTGGAGGTTGGAGGGGAAAGTATAGAATTTTTGGCCGCAAAGAGTCTGTAATCTACAGGAGGCAATGCAGACATGTTAAGAAATAATAATAATAGGATGTGATTGTCTGGCAAAATGAGAGTAAATTATACAGAAGTGCATGGAAAACAGGCATTGTTCCCCCTTCCTGGAAGATTTTTAAGCATCTAAAACCAATGGGAAAGGCTTTTCTGGGCATGCTGTATAATTTTCTCGAGTATTCCAGCCACAGTCATGCACGACTCACCCTTACCTCTCAAACCTTAGAAACAAGAGCTCTGTTAGTTTAGATCTGCTTTGATCTTACTATTTACCCTCACCACCAAGTTTTTTGCTCGTTATTGTAGGTTTCTTTCATTGAACTTAATTTACAACTCTTACCCTCCCCTTGTTTCTTGTTTTATGCCATTGACTTTCCAAAAAACAAAAACATTGGGATCTTACTATACTTTTGCTTTTCTCTTAGAGCATCTCCCAATCTTCAGAGCAAAGAGTAGTGTATACCTAAATAATTACGTAGGCTCTTCGAGATTACAAAATCAGCTTCCTACTCCACGAGGGAGGTCTGCAGGGAGCCAGCCTTTGCTTCCCAGGAAAGCAGATGGATGAGCATCACCATGAACTCATTTATTCTGTGGGAAGACTCTCCCGTGCTTTTCCTGAGGCCCTTAGAGAAGAGTCACCTGACCTGCTAAGTTGCCAGACTTCAACTTTCTTAATGGGATAGGAGCCCTGGGGGCTCTGGGTAATCTTTCTTCCAGCCTTCCATGAAAGACAGAAAGCAAGGCAATGTACATGGGCTTTCACTACTGTGGGTTTTTTTTTTTTTTTTTTTTTTTTACTTTTTTAGCACAGCATGTGGGATCATATCTCTTGACCGGGAATCACATCCTCATCCCATCCATGAGAAGCACAGACTCTTAACCCCTAGGCCACCAGGGAAGTCCCTCACTGCTGTATCCATAGGAATTGCTTGGTGGTGGCAGCTCCCTTTCACTTTACTAGTTTGGATTCCAACCCAAGAAAGATAAAGTATTACTGATTAACATGGAATAATGAAATTTGGATGAAAAAGACTAACCGGGAGAATTAATTCCAGCTTGTATAACAGCAATAAATAGGTGTTACATATTTAAAGGAATATGTAAATTTCATGTAGTGATTTAGAAATTCAAATGAAAACCTATTTGCCATATTTGGATATAGGACTGCAAGGTAAATAAGCCAAATGTACATCTAAAGTACAAGGCACCATATAATTGTAAACATTTCTCAGTTTATTTGTCACAAAAGATTATAAAAATAAGAGAAAATATGTAAAGAAAAAGGTCTCTAGAAGTCTCACCATCACTTAAAAAAATTATTTTCCATGTGTTTTGCCTATGTGTATGCAGAGGACTTTCTATTTAAAACTTTATTTTTTTATTCAAAAAATTTGCATGAGCACCTTCCTATGTTGCTAACCTAGTCTTCAAGGTATCATTATATGAAATGGTTAATATGCCATAGTTTGTTATTCTCTGTTTTTGAACATTTGGATTCTTTCTGATTTTTTTGTTCTTGTAACTAGAACTGATATGAAATTCTTTGTAATTTGTATATTTTCTGACTCATAGGAAATGAAAACATACACTTAGGGGGAAAAAAACTATTTAAGTGCAGGCATTCCCCAAATATAGTGTTAAACTGTTTAACTATCAATATGCAGTGATTCCTGCTCCAGCCTGGACTGGACAATCCGTTTGATTTCCAGCCTTTGGGTTCTTAAAAAAAAAAAAAAAAAAAAAAAGACAGTTTCCCCAAGCTGGTTGAAATAGAGGGCTTTAAGAAATCCAGTTATATGTTATCTCTGTTTCTCCCCCACCTCCTCCCACCAACATAAACACACAAACTTGAACTTTAACAGATGCTTTCATGGCAGCCACTCTTTCCTATAACCCATGTTTAGACCCAAAGTTGATAAAAGTGAATAATGGGTGTTTGCCAACAAAGATGGCCATCTAGTCAAAGTTATAGGTTTTCCAGTAGTAGTGTATGGATGTGAGAATTGGACCATAAAGAAAGCTGAGTGCCAAAGAATTGATGCTTTTGAACTGTGGTGTTGTAGAAGACTCTTGAGAGTCCTTTGGACTGTAAGGAGATCCAGCCAGTCCATCCTAAAGGAAATCAGTCCTGAATATTCATTGGAAGCACTGATGCTGAAGCTGAAACTCTGATGCTTCAGCCACCTGATGCGAAGAACTGACTCACTGAAAAAGACCTTGATGCTGGGACAGATTGAAGGCCGGAGGAGAAAGGGACGATAGAGGGTGAGATGGTTGGATGGCATCACCGACTCAATGGACATGAGTTTAAGCAAGCTCTAGGAGTTGGTGATGGACAGGGAAGCCTGGCATCCTATAGTCCATGGGGTCACAAAGGGTCGGACACGACTGAGCAACTGAACTGAACTGGGGTGTGGTCTCCAAGGCAATGCTCATGGTCACTCTTGCCTCCGTTTCAGTAAGATCCTTAACTACTGGTAGTGAATGGTGATAGAGGGATGAAGCAGCAATAGAAGAAACTTAAACTGCACTATGATGGACGCGGTCTAGGATAGAGGTCAAAATCCCAGGCTTCGCCCGTTCTTGTGTAAGGACATTTTCCAAACAGGTTTGTTTTGCATTTTGTGTTGTGTCCCCGTGTGGTGAACAGATGGGAGGTTTTTGTTGTAAGTTTTTTGCTCTGAGATTGACAGCCTGGAGAATTTCCTGAAACATGGACTGAAATTGCCATTCAGAACAAACCCGGATGAATATATGCCTCAGGACATATGCCTCAGAGTCTGTTCCAGGGATGTTGCTGGGCTCTGCCCCTTCGCCTCCTCTCTCCCTCTTTGTGTGACAAAAATAAAAACATACAACTACAAAAACAAAAATAAAAAAGCCAGACTTTGAAGTAAGACCAAATTTTTGAAGTCACTCTGCCACTTACTGGTTGTATGACTTTGAAAAAGCTATTTAATGTCTCTGTCTGCATGATGGGGTGATAATAATAGTACCTGCATCCAGGGCATGATTAAGATGCTACGTGTAAAGTTTTTAGTACAGTGTCAGACACAGCAAGCTCTCAAAGAGGGAAAGCTTCACTTTCGTGTGTCATTTAAACACACCTGAGTCCTGTGTCTGCCGTCAGCCATTGCAGCCGCCCTCCCTGGCTTCGAGGGAAAAGCTGCCTCTGTGTCTTCCATACTCACCTGGGAGGCTGCCACACGGTGCTGCCCCTGCTCCTTCAAGACTGCCTCTGGTTGTCATCAGGATGGTTCAGAGCCAGATAGCCCACTTGGATTTTCCCCCTGAAATCACAAGGAGATGAGGTTTCATTGCCCTGCAGAACTAAAATCCAGGGAATTCCCCAGCGGTCCAGTGGTTAACACTGCGCTTTCACTACCAACAATGGCACTTCAATCCCTGGTTGGAGAACTAAGATCCTGCAAGCTACACATTGTGGCCAAAAAACCTCTAAAATCCAAAACTGATGAACAGTAAGAACATCCCCCTCGCCAGTGGGAGAGGCAGGGCTTAAGTAGACCCTGCAAGACGGAAAGGCCAACCATCACCAGCCCTCTGGGAGCCACCTCCCCCATGCCATCCAGAAGAGAGCATGTAGGTCCTGTCTCCACCAGGGCATGATGGGGGCTTCTCAGTGATGCTGTGCAAACCCAGCTCACCTGGCTCTTGACCCTCTTCCCACACACCAGAAGGTTACCTGGGGTGACTTTTTCTTCAGACAATAACCAAATCCTCCTCCCCCTCTGGTGAAGTCCTTAGCATCTGAGGTCCTGCTTCATGGTTTCCTCTGTTGAGATATGGCTCCTGCCTCTGTATCTCTAGCCCGGAAACGAGGGTTCGGGAGGAG